ATCACTGAAGGCAGATTAAGAGAATATATTCTACCTAGTCTTAATATTTTTTTTTCTATTCAGAGTCTAACATGTGGGAGCTAAGAATGATTATGCTAGTTGCAAAAGCCTCAACATTGTCATCTAAAACAGGGGTAACAATACCAAGTGCACTAATTTGGGAGGAGGACTAAATAAACTAATAGCAGTTAAAAAAAAAAGTCTGTCATCTGTCTGTTGTTTTAGTCTGCTAAGCACTCATTTCTCTGTTGTAACAGAATTTCCTCCAAATATATATATATATGTAGAACAACACCTACCTGCCCAGGCTCAGCCAATCAGAGTCACTCTCTAGAGTTTAATCCCGGAGATAGCCACTGTAGAAGCAGAAAACAGCTAGAGCTCATTTATCTGGCTGTAGGTGGCTACAAATGATTTCCCCTTGGTCACTAGATTCTGGCACCTGGATCCCCAAGGTCAGTCTTAGCAAAGAATTCTGCTAAGTCAGTTTATGAGAATCCCCCACCATGGATATCTGAGCACTCTTGATCAGGTTCCTCACCTTCCATCTTTGATGTCTAAGTCCTTGATCTGCCTTTAGCAAGAATCCCCCTACCCATGCTGCCTCCTATTAATAAATTCCATCCACTGACCACCTCACCCTGCTATGCAGCTATGAATCCCCACCTGTTCTTGTATTCACCTCCCTTTCTGCAATACTCGTATTGCAACAGTCTTGAACAAAGCCTTCCTTACTGTTTTAAGAAGTGTCAGAATATTTTTTTTTTCAAATTGGGCAAGCTGCAATTTTTACTTTAGCCTCAAACATCTGTGCTTTTTCTTTCCTTCCCTTTTTCCTTCCTCTCATCCCTCCTTCCCCCTCTCTCCCTTTCTTTCTTTCTTTGGCCTGGCTATTTCAGGCTTAGGTTGAACTCTGTCCATGATTTCCATAACTGGAAAGATGGGTAATTCCTGTCTGGACCCAGCATCTCGCTCTCTTTATAGCCCCATGTTTCTTCATGGCCACCACAGTCAATGTCTCAGCTACTGTCTTCCAAGGGAGAATGGGACCATCACAACCACCCTCAAGCAGCTGGGAGGACTAAAAAGGTAATATGTGTAAAACCGCTTTGCGTCTTGCAAAATGTTATATAAATATATTTTTTAAACAAAAGAAAAAGAAAGACGGCTTGATGAAGTGTTGAAATTGTTGAAGTGCTCTGACTAAATCTTTGAAAGAGGAAATTATACGCCTGGACACAGCAGCAGTAGCCCGATTATTCAGGGTCAGCTGCTGCAGCTGTGAGCAATTTCCCCACGTGACTATCTGGTTTCCATCTCCCTCCATTTAAGGATAAGATAGCTGCATAGCAGCTAACACAGTTGAAGGAGAGAGTTTATGTAAATACAGAAATATGTCCATCACATTTGCAACAGTTACACAAAATTCTCAAGGTACCTAGGGATGACTGCTTTCAGAAAGAATCTTGTATGTTTTACGGGCTAACAGTTTTATAGGTGCAATATCTGCCAGACTGTGTGAGCTGATGCAATACAAGTTGAGATTTTTTTTTTTCCTGGTTAGTGCAGCTCATAATTAGCACCCAGTCTTCTTTAGTAATTTGAATCTTCAATCTACCATTTATAAATGCTTGTCTTCAGCAAGTTACTTAACCTCATCTTAAACATGAGAATTGTGATATCTAACTCCCAGAATTATTGAGTGGAATAAATGAGTAAATGAGTAAAGTGGTTAGAACAGTAGCTGGTGTATAAGGAGCTCTATAAATTTTAACTGTTATTCAGAATTGATCAGATTACATGCAATGTTCGCATTGGAGGGCCATAGAGGTAGACACTGTGCTAAAAGCTTTACCAACTACTATCATTAATCCTGACAGCAAGTCTATGCAAGAAAGAGTTACCACAGCTGTCCGGAATCAGAAGGGCCTGCTTGTGGAGCTGGCCCGACACTAGCACCTGAGAACTTGGCCTCCCTCAGAGTCCCTAAGTTACTACCTGACAAGGCAACTTTGTCCACCTGGGGCATTGGGTTCTGTTGTACCAGCCTGCCTAGCAGGTTTGTGCAAACACCATGATTTATGTGCTTTCTTCTGAAAGTCTGGAATGCTGGCAGACATGTCCCTGCTGAAGGAAGGAACAAGATCAGTGTGGCCCTGGGAGAGAGAATAGAGGAAGTGTGGGCCTGGATTCTCCAGACAACCCCTGGTATGTCTTTCTCCCTTGTGGATCCTTCTTTGTATCCTTTAACTGTCATAAATCTTAGCCATGAGCCCAACTATATGTTGAGTCCTTCCAGTACATGTGGGTGGTCATAGGCTCTCCAAAAACAAAACAAAAAATTCGTAGAGGTATACAGTGTGACTCTAATTTCATAAATTTAATAACCTGAGGAATGGAAGGGTTGAGATGTTGACATGACCACTCAATAGGTGAAAGAGCTGGGACCTAAATCCTGCCTGTCTCCCTCCAAAGATCATGTTCATTCCAGTGTGTCAGGCAGCCACACCTGATTATACACATTCTGGGCCAAAGAAAATTTCTAAGGCACAATGACTGGTAATTACGGGTGGCTATGCAACCTTGGGTAAATATCTAGAAGGTTTTTGAACTTCAGTTATATTACTGTAAAATTATAATAATGATACCAACATCATAGAATTGCTTTGAAGATTTAATATGATTATATATGTCATACATGTAAAGCATATACATATTAAATACATAATATATTAAAATCTATAAAGTATTTAGTCCAGTGCCTGGTAAAGGTAAACCTCAATGAATGAAACAACTAGATAAATATGTACATACATGGCCAACATACATATATTAGCATAAATATGTACATATATATATACATTCATATATATTGATAGATACACACATGTGCATACCAGTTAATTATTCATCTAACTGTTGCTTAATTATAGAGCATAATTCAGTATTTATAAATGAAGCTAGTTACGGTTTAATAAGTGGGCCTGATTTTACGTCTACCGGTTTCAATCTAGGGAACCACTCTTACTCAGAAATCTACTCAAAGTATGAAGGATGACTCTCTTTAATGCTTAACCTGTGAAATTAATCATTAGATGGACAATTCAGAGCTTTGCTTAAGACACTACATAGCATTAATCATTAGCTCTAACATACACATAAGTGGTGGCCATATTTGCCTAGCTTACGGTTAGAACTTGAGATCTAGCAATGAACTTCTGGAAAACTGGAACTCCCTTAGAAACTCTGAATTCTATATGGAGAGAATATTCAATCCTCCTAAAACCAAGGAAAGCAAACTTCTGTGGCTTAAGATCTGCTACCAATAATGCTGGATTTTATCCTTTCCATTGTGATTTTACGGCATTTATGTTTATAGCATTACAAACTTATGCTGTAATTGAAGTATAATTACTCACTCTTTGGAAATCATTTAGAAACAATTCATAGCATCCTCTATCTTCTCTCTGAAGTTGAGATGTGCAGTATCAGTCAGTAAATTGTAGCAGAAGGGGTTGGTTTTCTCCTAGAATTTGGTGCCACTAAGTTTTCTTTCTGGAGCTAAAACAACAGAACTAACTCCAACCCAAACACACCATTTTTCACTGTCGAAAACCTCCGTCATCCCAACCAACTCTGCATTCACACGTATTAGCAGTAATATCCATTTGGAAATTCCTACCCAATTGGCCTCATACAAATTATGTAACCTATTGGTGTCTTTGTTTCCTTATCTGTAAAATGGAGATGACAGAATACTTGCCCTATAGTTAAGAGTACTATGTTGTGCATTTAAAAACTTGTTAAGAGAATTGGCCTCATGTTAGGTGTTCTTAACACACACACACACACACACACACACACACACACACTTACATTTAACAACAAAAATAATATCTGCCTCAAAGAGTTTAATAGGCTTAAATAAGTTAATATGTGTAAAAATTATTAGAATAGTGACTGACATAGTATTGAATGAGTGAATGAATGAATGAATGAGTGAAAAATATATAATACATCTTCCACTGTTCTCTAATCGCTTCTATATTCATCTTATTATCCCCCAAAAGACTATAAACTGTTTAAGGCCAGGTACCACACTGGCACTATACTTTTCTATCTACCTTCCACTCACAGTGAACTTAACTCAGTAGAAGACATATTAGGCCATAATAAACAGTTATGAATTTGACCAAGCAATGTTGAATAGGAGAAAAACCCCCGGAATACACCAAGTGCCTTTCTAACCAATGCCTCTAGATCAATGGCTTTAAAAATACTTGACGCCAACACAGTTTTTATGCTGCTCATCAATACACACATGAACATGTCTATATGCTTATAGAGTGTATATTTAACTAAAATTAAAGTTTTGCAAAACAATACTTAACCTTAATACATAAAATAGGCTCTGATATTTTCTAGTTAAATCCAGTCCAGGGCATCTCAAACTTTCATGGGCATTCAAATCACTTGGAGTTCATGCTAAAATATAAGTCGGGAAACAAGATGGCGGCGGAATAGGCAGACACGTCCCAGGTCTTGTCCCGGAGCAAATGGAGTGAGCAGCTGAAACTAATAACACCCACCCCGAATTGGTGAAGTATACTCAGCTGGTGAGACAGTTTGCAGCCGGGAAGGGCAGAGTTCCCCTGGAAAGGTAAAAACCAGGGATCTGAACAGGAAAGTTTGCCAGACCTCTGAGCCCAGAGGGTCAGAGGGAGACCGTGCACGGCACACAGCCGCGTCTCTTGGGACAGACACAGCCCCTGGCTGTGGAAAGGAGATCCGCGGGACTGTTGGCACCGGGGCATTTGAGATCTGGGTTCCGTAATTACGGAGGACTGAGCTTAAAAGGGGCAGCCTGAAGTGCTGACCAGACCATGCAGTGCCGGTAAGAGAGGAGTTTACAGAGACTCAGCCTTCCCCGTTTCCATGGCCAGCGTTTGTTTGTTTTCACCGAACCCTGTACATAGGACATTTCAGATACAGACACTCACCTCTGCTGAAGAGCAGGAGAAGGTGCGGACGAGTGGAATCTGGGGAGAGAAGGGGGGCCAGGAGAGGTGGCAGCAAATTGAGCCCAGGACTTAGGCAGCCATTTTCTCCTGAGGCTATAACTCCTCCCTACAAGGCCCCAGGCAAGGAATACAGCCACACCCAGATTCCACCTGAATGAGATGAAGGATTAAGATCATCTGATTAGTCCCTGGGAGTTAACAGTGTCTGGCCTATAGAGGGCCTTTCAGTCCCAGCAACAACAACAACAAAAACAAAATCACAGACATTCCAGAAAACTGGGATCTTAAGCCAGCCAAAGGAATGAAATGTCTATTTTTCATTTTTATTTTTTTATTATTATTTTGTTAGCTTTTTTTTCTTTTTTCTTTGTTTTCCCTTTTTTTGTTGCTTTTTTTTTTTGCTTCTTTCTTTGTTCTCCTTATTTTTGTTTGTTCCTTTATATCCTACTTCTCTTCACATTATTTTTTCAACCACGTGAGCAGCAGACACGTGAGCGGCGCGCTCTTGTCCAGGGAGCATCAGCCCTGTGAGAAGTCTGCCTCGAGCCTAAGAGCAGCAGCCTCATGTGGCCTGCCCCTGTCCAAGGAGCAGTAGCTGTGTGAGCAGCCCTCCCCCTTCCGAGGAGCAGCAGTTCTGTGAGCGGCCCAGCCCCATTCGAGGAACAGTGGCAGCCCACCCTGGTCTGAGGAGTAGCAGCCATATGAGCAGACCGCCCACTTCCGAGGAGCGGCAGCCCTACGCAGTACGCACCGGTCCAAGGAGCAGAGCCACAACAGCCTGCACCTGTCCGACAAGCAGCAGCTGGTCCTAGGAGCAGTAGCCCCACAAGCAGCCCACCACATCAGAGGAACAACAGCAGCATGTGCCAGCCCCCATTCAAGAATCAGCAGCAACGTGAGCAGTCCGCCCCAGTTCAAGGAGTAGCAGCTGTGTGTGTAGCCTGCCCCCATCCAAGGAACAGAAGCCTCGTGATCAGCACATCCTCTGTCTGAGGAACAGCAGCTGAGTGTGAAGCCTCCCCCTACCAGCCAGAGGACGCACCACAGCTGTGAACAGCACCCACCAGAGGAGCTGCTGCCAACTGAGGAGCAGTTGCTACCACAACCACCTGAGAAGCAACCACAGCCCGAGGAGCCACTGCCACATTAAGGAGCAGCCCCTGAACAACTCAACATCTAGATATGTCGGTGAGATCAAACATGGGTAGACAAAGAAACCCCCAAAGGAAAGAAAAGGAGGACTCACCAGAAAAGCAGCTAAGTGAAACAGAGGCATGCAGCATGACAGAAAAAGAATTCAGATTAAGGGTCCTAGAATGCATAAACCGGATGGAGGAAAAAATCAACAACTTATGCAAGAATCAAGAAGAAACGGATGAAAAAATCAATAAACTATGTAAGAACCAAGAAGAAATGAAGAGTGATATAGCTGCAATAAAAAACACCATTGAAAGTTTCAACAGTAGACTAAAAGAAGCGGAGGACCGAATTAGCGAATTAGAAGACATGGAAACAAAAAACACACCCAAACTGAACTGCAATTGGAGAAAAAAATTAAAAGACAGGAGGAGAGCCTAAGGGAGCTATGGTACAACATGAAACGAAACAACATACGAATAACAGGGGTGCCAGAACAACAGAAAGAGGAACAAGGTTTAGAAAACCTATTTGAAGAAATAATATCAGAAAAATTCCCTGAGGTGGGGAAGAAAAAAGTCACACAAGCACAAAGAGTCCCAAACAAGGTGAACCCGAAAAGACCCACAGCAAGACACATCATAATTATCATGGCAAATGTTCAGGACAAAGAGAGAATCTTAAAGGCTGCAAGAGAGAGACAGAAAGTTACATACAAGGGATCTCCCATTAGATTATCAAATGATTTCTCAACAGAAACACATCAGGCCAGAAAAGAATGGACAGAAATTTACAAAGTGATGCAAAGCAAAGGACTGAATCCAAGAATACTCTATCCAGCAAGGCTATCATTCAAAATTGAAGGGGAAATAAGAAGCTTCACAGACAAAAAGGCTAAGGGAGTTTATCACCACCAAGCCAGCAATGCAAGAAATGCTAAAGGTACTGGTGTAAAAAGAAGAAATAAAAAGCTCAGAAAGAAAACAGCCACAAAAAATAGAAATGGCTACAAACAAGTACCTTTCAATAATAACTTTAAACGTAAACAGCCTAAATGCTCCAACCAAAAGACATCGAGTGGATGAATGGATAAAAAAAACATGACCCATACATTTGCTGTCTACAAGAGACCCACCTCAGAATAAGGGACTCACACAGACTGAAAGTGAAGGGATGGAAAAATATCTTTCAGGCAAATGGAAATGAAAAAAAACTGGGGTAGCAATACTTATATCTGACAAAATAGACCTCAGAGTGAAGGCCATAACAAGAGATAAGGAAGGCCACTTCATAATACTAAAGGGATCAATACAACAAGAGGATATAACCCTGATAAACATATATGCACCCAATTCAGGAGCACCCAAATACATAAAGAAACTCCTGGAAGATATCAAGGGAGAGATCGACAACAATACAATCATAGTAGGGGACTTTAATACACCACTGGCATCACTGGATAAATCCTCTATTGGCAAAGAAACAGCAATCCTAAATGACTCACTAGATCAGATGGACTTAATTGATATCTTCAGAACATTTCACCCCAAAGCCATGGAATATATACTCTTCTCAAGTGCTCATGGGACATTTTCAAAAATAGACCACATATTGGGTCACAAACAAAGTCTCCCCAATTTCAAGAAGATTGAAATCATACCAAGTATCTTCTCAGACCACAAGGGCATACTATTAGAAATAAACTACAATAAAAACAACCCAAAATACTCTAACACTTGGAAGCTGAATAGCATGTTATTAAATATTGATTGGGTTACCAATGAGATCAAAGAAGAAATTAAAAACATCCTGGAAACTAATGACAATGAAAACACAACAATCCAAGTATTAGACATTGCAATTAGACAAGAAAAAGAAATAAAAGGCATCCAAATTGGAAAAGAAGAAGTAAAACTGTCCTTATTTGCAGATGGCATGATATTATACATAAAAAACCCTAAAGACTCCATAAAAAAACTATTAGACTTAATAAATGAATTCGGCAATGAAGCAGGATACAAAATTAATGCCAAGAAATCTGTGGCATTTCTATACACCAATAGTGAACTTACAGAAAGAGAGACTAAAAAAACAATCCCATTTACCATTGCACCAAAAAAATTAAGATACCTAGGATAAACTTACCTAAAGAGGTAAAAGACCTCTACTCAGAAAACTACAGGACATTGAAAAAAGAGATAGAGGAAGACATAAACAGATGGAAGAACATACCATGTTCTTGGATTGGTATAATCAACATCATTAAAATGTCCATACTACCCAAAGCAATCTATAAATTCAACGCACTTCCCATTCAAATACCAACGGCATATTTCACAGACCTAGAACATACTCTCCAAAAATTCATCTGGAATAAAAAAACGACCCCGAATAGCTGCAGCGATCCTGAGAAAGAACAAAGTAGGTGGGATCTCAATACCATATATCAAGTTGTATTCCAAAGCCACTGTTCTCAAAACTGCCTGGTACTGGCACAAGAACAGGCATATAGATCAATGGAATAGAATAGAAAGCCCAGAAATCGGCCCGAACCAATATGCTCAATTAATATTTGACAAAGGAGGCAAGAACATACAATGGAGTCAAGATAGTCTCTTCAATAAATGGTGTTGGGAAAATTGGACAGATACATGCAAGAAAATGAAACTAGACCACCAACTTACAACATACACAAAAATAAACTCAAAATGGATAAAGGACTTAAATGTACGATGGGAAACCATAAAAATTCTAGAAGAATCCAAAGGCAACAAAATCTCAGACATATGCCGAAGCAATTTCTTCACTGATACAGCTCCTAGGGCATTGGAAACTAAAGAGAAAATAAACAAATGGGACTACATCAAAATAAAAAGCTTCTGCACAACAAAAGAAACCATCAACAAAACAACAAGAAAGCCCACTGCATGGGAGAACATATTTGCCAATGTTATCACTGATAAGGGTTTAATCTCCAACATTTATAGGGAACTCATACAACTTAACAAAAGGAAGATAAACAATCCAATCAAAAAATGGGCAAAGGACCTAAATAGACACCTTTCAAAAGAGGACATTCAGAAAGCCAAGAGACATATGAAAAAAGAGGCATGCTCAAAGTCACTAATCATCCGAGAGATGCAAATCAAAACAACAATGAGGTACCATCTCACACATAGTACATCTCAGAATGGCTATCATCAACAAATCCACAAACGACAAGTGCTAGAGAGGATGTGGAGAAAAAGGAACACTCATGCACTGCTGGTGGGAATGCAGACTGGTGCAGCCACTATGGAAGACAGTATGGAGTTTCCTCAAAAAACTACAAATGGAACTTCTATTTGACCCTGTGGTCCCACTTCTAGGAATATATCCCAAGAAACCAGAAACACCAATCAGAAAGGATATATGCACCCCTATGTTCATAGCAGCACAATTCACCATTGCTAAGATCTGGAAACAGCCTAAGTGCCCATCTGTAGATGAATGGATTAGAAAACTGTGGTACATCTACACGATGGAGTACTATGCTGCTGTAAAAAAGAAGGAACTCTTACCATTTGCAACAGCATGGGTGGAACTGGAGAGCATTATGCTAAGTGAAATAAGCCAGTCAATGAAGGAAAAATACCACATGATCTCACTCACTTATGGATAATAAAGACCATTATAAACTTATGAACAAAAATAGATACAGAGGCAGAGCTGCCTCAAACAGACTGTCAAACTACAGCGGGAAGGCTGGGAGGGTTGAGGGGCAGGACGGGGGTGGGGTAAGAGATCAACCAAAGGACTTGTATGCATGCATATAAGCATAACCAATGGACATAAGACACTGGGGGGTAGGGGAGGCCAGAGGATTGTCAAGGGTGGGGGAAAAAAGGAGACATATGTAATACTCTTTGTAATACATTAAGCAATAAATAATTTAAAATTAAATAAATAAATAAATAAATAAAATATAAGTCGGATTCAGCAGAACGTGGGCAGGATCAGAGAGTCTGAATTTCTATCATGCTCCCAGTGACACTCTGGGTCCATGGACCACACTTTGAGTAGTAAGAGTCTAGTCTAGTCTAGTCTATTTAAAATAATTTTTATTGCTGGAATGGCTTTCTAAATTTATTTCATAGCCCAATAAAGAAAGAGTTGCAATCTGCTGTTTGTAAAACACAGCTCCAAGTAATTTCAAAAGTTTCTTTCATCTCTCTCTATAATTCCGCTGTTATCTTCCTAGCCTTGGGAAGAGAAGTCTTAGGCCTACACAGAAGAGGGGGCAGGGAGTTCAAAGGAAGAATGTCTCAAGTATTACCTTTCAACTTGTCTTAGGCTGAAATTCCTGTCTGATTCCCAGCCCTTTTCTCACCATTCTGAGCCTACACCTTGCCGTTATGTTAATAAATGTTTGAGCACTTATTAAAAACAGAACACTGAACCAAGTATTTTATATCTAATCCCATATACTCCTGCAACCACTCTATGCAGGGATTCCCATTTCACAGATGACAGGAGGTAATAGCTGGTAGAGCTGGTGTTCCAGAGATTATGTTCTTGTGACAGCCAGCCTCCAAGATGGTTCCAATGATCCTTGCCACCTGGTGTTCACACTGAATAGAGCTGACCTGTAAGCAATAGAGTACTGAGGAAGTGACAGTGTGTGACTTTCTAGGCTCAGTTAGAAAACACTGTGGCTTCTGTCTTGCACTCTGTTGGACAACTCCCTCTAGAAGAAGCCAAGCTGCCATGTCATGAGAATTCTCAAGCAGCCTTATGAAGAAGTCTACACAGCAATGATCTGACACTTCCTGCCAACAACCAGCACCAACTTGTTAGGCACACAAGTGAGCCACTGTGGAAGTAGATCCTCCATCCAGTCTGTCAAGCTTTCAGGTAGCTCCACTGATAATATATATATATATATATATATATATATATATATATATATATATATATATATTGTTGATAGTATTACAGATATCTCCCATTGTCCGCTCTTTTAACACCCTCCTCTCAGCCCCTACTCCCCTCCCCTGCCCTGCCCAGGTCTTCACTACCCTATCGCCCATGTCCATGGGCTATGCATATAAGTATATAAGTTCTTTGGTTTATGTCTTCTTGTCCCTTTAACCCCCACATCAAGGTATGTCAGTCTGTTCCATGCTTCCATACTTTGGATCTTATCTTGGTGGTCAATTGATTTTGTTCGTTAGATTCCACAAATAAGTGAGATCATGTGATATTTGTCTTTCTCAGATTGGCTTATTTCACTTAGCATAATATTTTCCAGGTCCATCCTGGAAAGAGGGTAAGAAATCCCTCTTTTTTATAGCTGCATAGTATTTCATAGTGTAAATGTCCCACAGCCCACTGACATCTTGACTACAACCTCATGAAGACCTCAAGAGAGATCCATCCAGTTAAGTCACTCCCAAATTCCTGACCCACAGAAACTGTGTGAGAAAATATTATTTCTTATTATTTTCTGCCATTAAGTTTTAGGGTCATTTCCTATGCAATACATAACTAATATAGTTCTTAGCCATAGGTTATATTGCATCATTATGATTCAGCCCAAAAAGGAAAGTGAAAGTTTTATGAAGGTCATTTGGATTACTTCTTCACTGTGGCAGCTCATACCATGCATGGTTCAGCAAATTTTCTTTCTTTTTTAATTTAAAATGTATTTTTCAATTAAAGTTTACATTCATATTATTTTGCATTAATTTCAGGTATACAGCATAGTGGTTAGACAATCATATACTTTACAAAGTGTTCCCCCCTGATATTTCCAGTACCCACCTGGTATCATGCATAGTTATTGCAATATTATTAACTATATTCCCTAGGCTGTACCCCTGTGAATATTTTGCAATTACAATTTGTACTTCACATTTTCCACCCAGTTCCCCTAAGTCCCTTCTCCGTTTCAGCAAATTTTCATTCTCCCCTTGCAACCAACATTGTGAGAGGCATTAATTCCCCTTCAGACCTGACCAGATTAGTTCCTGTAGTCAGCTGGGTATGGGAGTAATGTTAAATCATATCAAATATAACTTTTTAGAGATGCTACAAGGATCTGCCTGCCCTCTTTAGCTTCTTCCCTCATTTGTAAAAATAATATATCCCAAAGAGTGGAAGTTCCTTTAGCCTGGGTCCCAAAATGAGAAGGCATGGAACTTGACCTCTAGCTAAGCTGAGCCCAAGCAGAGGCACAGTTGACTTATAGACCTACGAGTGAGAAGTAAATGTTTATGGTGGTAATCCACAAGATTTCAGGTTTGCTTGTTACCACAGCAAAAACTGACCCATACACTCACCATGCTGTATGATGCCATACTCCATAAGCCGGTGGCACAGTTGCTCTGCCTCTTTCCTTGTCGTGGCCTCACCTTCCTGAACCAGCCAATCCAGGAATTCAGATGCCATGAAGGTGCGCTCATACTTGACTCCCTCCTCTTCCCGGGGCTGCAGGAGTGTGTGTTCAGGGCTCATCAGCCTGGGAGGGAAAAAGGGACAAAAAATAAACCTATACAAAAGGAAAAGAGCTCATTTGAAATCCTACATCAGAGGCTTCTGAGTGGCATCACAGCAAAGTTGTCAGACAGACAGATATGGCTGTCATGTGCTGCCACAAATGTAATTTTTAAGAGAAGGATCTGCTTCAGATGTGAACAAGATGCTTTTTCTCCTAGTAATTAGAGAAAAAAACAAAAACTGAAAATGCCATGGAAACTTTAGCATTAGCAGATTGCATTTGGTTTAGCCATCTTGAAAAGGAGTTACAATTTACTGACTAAGTCCCACCCTACCTTTCTACAAAGGCTAATATTTCTTTCCCAAAGGCATTAGTCCATTTCCCAAATTGCTGTTCTTTTTGCTGTGGACTGAGGGTCTGTGTCTTTCCAAAATTCATATACTCAAATGGTAATGCCCAATGTGATGGTATTTAGAGATGGGGCTTTGGGGAGGTGATTATTTCATGAAGTCGGGGCTCCCATGATGAGGTTACCACACTTACAAGAAGAGCTACAAGAGCCTGGCCACCAGATAGCTCAGTTGGTTAGAGCATTGTCTCAATACACCATAGTTGTGGGTTCAATCCCTGGTCAGGGCACATTCAAGAATCAACCAGGGAATGCATAAATAAATGGAACAACAAATCAATGTTTCTCTCTCTCTCTCTCTCTCTCTCTCTCTCTCTCTCTCTCTCTCTCTCTCTCTCTCACACACACACACACACACACACACGAAAGAAATAGCTACAAGGCTGCTTTCCCAGGGTTAGTAACAACTGAGTTGGTATGAGCAATAAGGATTATATTTGATATAATAATGACTAAGCCCTTCTTAGAAGATGGAAAGGACAGCTGCTACATATACATCAACACTAGTGACAAAATCATAAGACATTCTCTAGTCTCATGCTTCTTCCCAATATGACTTCACTGTTTCTCCCATTAAGAAATTGAGTCTACTTCTTCTTCCCTTGAACCTGGGCTGGCTTTGTGAACTGCACTGACCAGCTGCATGCAGCAGAAATGACATATGAGACTTGCAGCTCCCACCTTCACCCCCTTGTAATGCCATGATGAGATAGCCATGTAAGAAAGCAAATCCCACTTACTGGAGGTAAAGAGGTCACAGAGAGAACTGAGAGAACTGAGGCAATAGCCAGCACCAATTCTCGGACATGTGAATGAGGCCATCCGGATCTTCCTGCCCAGGTGACTCTCCAACAACCATATGAACGAGCCCAAGATGAAACCAATAAGGGAAACTCCACACAACCCACAGAATCCAGAGAAATAATACATCATTGTTGCCTTAAACTACTAAATTTGGGGGGGAATTGTTTTACAGGAAGAGATAACATTCATACGAATGGGCAATGGCAAAAAGATGTAAAAATCCAGAAAAAGAGTCACATCACACCACACGGAAAGTACTGAAGGAACAATGAACAAATACTGGAAGGTTCTGCAGCAATCAAAAATAATCTATGCACCCCTATGCTCATAGCAGCACAATTTACAATAGCTAAGGTTTGGAAACAGCCTGAGTGCCCATCAGCAGATGAGTGGATAAAAAAGCTGTGGTACATTTACACAAAGGAAAACTATGCAGCTATAAAAAAAGAAGAAACTCTTACCATTTGCAACATCATGGATGGACCTGGAGAGTATTATGCAAAGCAAATTAAGGCAGTTTGAGAAAGGTAAATATCACATGATCTCACTCAGATGTGGAATCTAATGAACAAAATAAACTGATGAACAAAATAGATCCAGAGACATAGAAGCTTGGAACAGACTGTGGAATCTCAGAGGGAAGGCTGGGTGAGGTGGGGAGAGATTAACCTGGGAATTTATATGCATATATGCATATATGCATAACCCATGGACACAGACAATAGTGTGGTGAAGGCCTGGGAGGGGCAGGTGCAGGGTAGAGGGGGTCAATGGGGGAAAAAAATGCACAAGGGGGACACCTGTAATACTTTCAACAATAAAGATAAATTTTAAAGAAAAGAAGAAAATACTGAAGGTTCTAGAAATAAACTGCATGGAATAAAGCCACATAGAGGTAGACCTGGGAGCCTACATTGGTAATGGGACTCTAGAAAGGAGAACTGAAGAGCCCATTTATATGCCCAAATAGGAATACCACCATTTCTTCATTTCTTTTGACCCTCAAATAAGGTATTTTGGAGTGAAAATAAACTAAAATTAGCCTCCTAAGATTTCCAGTTTCGTACATTATTTCCTCTAAGAAGCTGTCTCCAGTTCCACAAATATGGACCACGTGCCCCTTCCAAGTCCCTTTTCAGAGCCCTAGGGGAATAGCCTACTCATAATTGTAATCTTTCAGACAAAAAGGTTTACAGATGTTTCTAGCACAATAGGTGCTCAAAAAGTATTTCCTGAATGAACGAATGAAGCTCATTTTTATGCATTGCCCTGCTATGCGTCATTCTCTAAGAGAATAATTAAAAACGACCCCCTTAGGATGACCCCATTTGGAGGTGAGATGAATCAAGAGTCTCCACCTTAGCGATTTAAGATGCAGACACAGACGCCTGGCCTTTATCTCTGTTTCTAACCACTCTTCCAGCTCAGAGATTTTCCTTTCAGGGTGGTGGGGGGACAAGTGGATGCAAGTTTACTGGTGTCACTTCTTATAATCAGAAACATGACCTGTCAGTCCCCTAGAGCTCCTGCTAAGTAGCTGGTGGCCCGCAGGCAAGTGGTTGGTCAGCTGCTGCTGCCAAGAAAAGAGACCAGTTGGCAGGCCTGCCTGGATTAGCTCAGCTTGCCACGTTATTAAAACATGCACCACCACCCTTCGCTCTTCCTTATTTCATTTCCTCTTAAAATCAAGTCAGGTTCCTCTCTTTAAGACAAAGCCTTTCATGGGATTTGATTTTAGTATTCATATGTAGTCACAGTGGTAAAAGTAAGAATTTGATTTAGTATTTGTTCCAATTATGTTTTGCTATGTAACAAGCTATTCCTAAACTTGGTGATTTTAAACAACCACCATTTAATTATATCTCTAGATTCTGTGGGTTGCCTGGGGCTCAACTGGGCAGTTCCACTATCAGTCTCGCTGGAGGTAACTCATGCAATTGCAGGCACACGGTGGCCAGGACAGGGGTGTCTGGCCCTATGTTACTCGTAAGTCAACATAGTTTTTCTTTCCGGTGAGGCAAGCTGAACGCTGAGGTAGAGTTGAAGAGAGAGGACGCAGTTACTGCCAGGACATTTTTGTAGTTTTATTGTGGTTATAATTCACTTACCATGCAATTAACATTTCATATGTACAATTCAATGGTATTTGGTATATAAAGAGAGTTGGATATACCACATTCACATACAAATTTTTGTGTGGATGTACATTTCATTTCTCTTGGATAGAAACCTAGAAGTAGAATTGCTGGATCATATTGTAGCTCTATACAGTTTTTGGAGAAACTACCAAACTATTTCCCAAAGTAGTTGTTCCATTTTACATTCCTCCAGTAAAGTATGAGTTCTAATTTCTCCACATCCTCACCAACATTTGTTATCACTTTTTTCTTTTTTTATTATGGCCATACTAGTAGGTGTGGAATCTCAATGTGGTTTTGATTTGCATTTTCCTAATAATTAATGATGTTGAGCATGTTTTCATGTGCTTATTTGTCCATTTGTGAAAAAATGTCTATTCAGACCCTTCCCCACTTTTAAATTAGATTGCTTGTCTTTTTATTATTAAATTTTAAGTGGTCTTTGAATATTCAAGATGCAAGTCTTTTATCAGACATGATTTGCGAATACTTTCGTCCATTTTGTGGGTTGCTTTTCACTTTCTTGGTGGTATTGCCTTAGTCCAAAAGTTTCTAATTTTGATATCATCTATTTTATCCATTTCTCTCTTTTGTCACATGTGTTTTTGGTGTCACCTTTTGGAAGCCCATAAAGATTTACTCCTAAGTTTTTATCTAATTATTTCATAGTTTTAGCTCTTGCATTTAGTTCTACAATCCATTTTGAGTTAATGTTTCTATAAGACATGAGGTAAGAGTCCAACCTCATTCCTTTATATGCAGCTATTCTCTTGTCCCAGTACCATTTGTTGAAATGGCCATTCATTCCCCATTGAATTATCTTGGCACTCTCGTCAATATCAGTCAACCATGCCAGGCCTTCTTAATGCCTAAGTTCAAAGGACACAGATGTCAACTGCCCTGAATTACTAGTATATTTGTTAAAGGCATCAGACACATGGAGAGGGGACACATATACCATCTCTTCATGGAAAGAACAATATGCACAGATAGCAAAAGGTGGAAATGTTTGGAGCCATCTCTGGAGACTAGCTACTATATGGCTTTATTTTAATTTGTCAACTGAAAGGCAATTTCGGTATGTATAACTCATTCACAGTTTTATATTGTCTCTTCCTCATTTATTTAATATTTTTTACTTTACTTAAAGTGTGGGATAGTTTTAAAGGCATGCAATCTAAAGGCAAACATAGCTTCAAATCCTAATTCTGCACACTTGTTAGCTAGATGACTCTCTTCTCCAAGTGTAAGATGGGGATAATAATGGTGCATCCTTGAGCAGTTGTGTAGCTAAGTGTGATAGTGCAGGAAAGGCTTCAGTCATGGTCCCAGTACACCTAAAGACTGAATACACTTCAGCCATGATGAAGATGGTGATGATGATGATGATGGTGATGACGACGATAAAAAGTTTTCTAGATGGAGCCATTATTCAAGAAAGCCAAACACCTTTCTTTGTGGCAAAATGAATTGATTGTGTGTATATTTCCACAGATAAGAATAACAGTTCCATTTTAATTAGTCATCAGAAATGTGTATGATGCTCTGAAACTCTTAGATATGATGAAACAAATTCATCTTTAGTCAAAATTGTCCGGTGCTGGCCTATAATCAGGACATAAAGCCACAGACTTTTCAAGGTGTCAGGCATGAACACTACTCACCTCATG